AACCCCTAAACCCTAAACCTTGAAGATGTCATGAAGAATCTCTGAGAACCGACGCATGGGTTTCCTCAAAAGGGTGTCTGGAGTGCTCCTGCATGGAGTTCTTGAAACGGACCCATAATGTAAGGTTGAAACCATGGGCCCCNNGCCCCTAGTATGGGCCCTGAACCCTGGGATCCGGATACACCTACGATATACCCTATATGTACCCTAGAAAGGCCTAAGGGCCCATATTAGGGGCCATACTTCTAACCTTGGACAGAAGGGTTCCATATATAGGTTCGTGGGATCTCAGGCTGGCAGTTTTCAGGCCTTGCCGGGGTTTCAGGGCTTCAGGGTTTAAGGTTTCAGAGGTTTAGGGTCTAGGGGTTTAGGGTTTAGGGCTTCAGGGTTTAAGGTTTCAGAGGTTTAGGGTCTAGGGGTTTAGGCTTCAGGGTTTAGGGCTTCAGGGTTTAAGGTTCAGAGGTTTACGGTCTAGGGGTTTAGGGGTTTAAGGGTTTCGGGCTTTGGGTGGCACCGCTAGGGCAAAGGACAACCTTGCAGTCACCTGAGCGTCCGGAGCAGATGGCTGCCATCAGAACATCCTGTTTTTTGAGCCTACGTACCGGAAGGCAGGTGAGCCCTAACGAGCTGGACCCCACAATTCTCAGCCCCACACAGGGTTTAGGGTTTAGGGATTCAGCCCCAGCTCAAGATCAAACAGCCCGAAAAGACAGATGCTTCAGCAGTGCAATCCGTACTGAAATCGGAGTCTTGTGTGGGTAGTTGTCAAAATCATGGTCCCTTTTGGGGTACCCTAAATAATAGGTGCCGTATTATAATAAGGACCCAAAAAGGGACCATAATTTTCACAACCACCCATGTATGTTTCGGGCTCATCGTTGGGGGAGGTGATAGATTCGATTCCATGCCTTTCGATGCGGGTGCGATGTCTGTGGCCCTGCCAGGGACGTGCCTTGCGCTGGGAAGCCCCGGAGGATTTGTGGGGCAAAACGCTTGGGATAGGGGTTTCCTGAACCCTTGACCGTAAATTTTCAACTTACGAGTACCAGCATGCTGCCTTAAACTCCTCACAGCTTGCGCGACTGTGCTGCGCTGTTGTTCGTTTGGATGCATCTCCAAGAGATGCGATCCGTTTGAATCTGAAGGAAGCTGCCTTTGCCATCGCACCGCGACCCTAAACTTGCTGTTTCAGGCTCTATAGGTCGGTAAATAGATAATATAGGGGCCTAAATAATTACCTACACTATTGGTTTGGGGTTCCTTCTTAAATATAAGTATAGTATAATATACCCCGAAGCCCTATTCTGATTACTAAGGCCCCTACATGAAGCAGCTAGTTAGCTAGGTAGACAGACAAACGGCTGCCCCCGGCAAGCTTTAAACCACCGACGGTGAGTGTGCATTTCGGATGTCACTATGGGGATGTTATCAGCTCTACTCATAATTAACCCTGAATCCAAAACCCTAAACCCAAAGCTACACCCTAAATCCTAAACCCTAAACCCTAAAGCCTAAACCCCCTAAACCCTAAACCCTGAACCCTAAACCCTAAACCCTAAACCCTAAACCCTAAGCTACAGCACATCCACCCCCTACCCGAGCCGAGGCATCCGCAGCTGCTAAAACCGCCCAAGCCGTAAGCCTCCTCTGTCAACGAAAAGCCTTAACCCGAAGTACTCAAACACCCAATCCTTAAACCCGAACTCTTAAACTCCCAAACCCAGATAATATAGGGGCCTAAATAATTACCTTCGCGATTTTTGTTTTTTTGGTGGTTCCTTATTAACTATAAGTATAGTATGACGTACCCCAAAGCCCTACTCTAATTGTGAACTCCCAAACCCCGAGCCTGCCTAAACCCTAAACCCTACACCGTTAAACC